TGACTCGTGGGTGCCGTTGGAGAGGTGGCTTGGGAGGAAGCCGCCGGTTGACATGCTGAGGGTGTTCGGTTGCATGGCAGTCGCCCTCGTCCCCAAGACCTATCGCAGTAAGTTGGGGGCGAGTGCAATCTGGTGTGTGCATTTGGGGCTGGCTGCTGAGAGCAAGGGATGGCTGCTGTGGGAGCCTTCCAAGGGTGTGTTGTTTGACAGCAGGGATGTGAAGTTTGTTGAGGGCATGATGTATGGGAGCTGGGAGAAACAGCCGGAGGCCAGGGTGTCCCAGCAGATGGAGCAGATTACCATGCAGCTGGACCTGACTCCTAGTGTGTGGGAGGAGGGAGAGGAGGCAGCTGCAGAGGGTGGTGATAAAGAGAAGGTGCAGGAGGCACCTGCTGGTGGAGGTGATGGTGTGGAGATTAGCGGTAGCACTAGTGGAGCTGCTGGATCCGAGGGAGGAGAGCAGCAGCAGGGGAAAACTAAGAAGCCGAAGGGTGTTATTATGAAGGGATGGGAGACACCCGTCTCCAGGCCAGGACGTACCCGTATGGCTACTAAGAAGCTGACTGCAGGAGCTGATGTAGCGGAGCAGCAGCTTGGGACCGAGGAGGCATTGCTGATTCTACCGCATGGCTATGACCCGGATGAGGAGGATCAACCTGCGTACTGTTTTCTTGCCCCTGCACCAGAGGAACCAGCTAGCATGGAGGAGGCATTAGCTGGACCAGATAGGGACAAATGGCTAGCTTCCAGGGATGCTGAGTACCAGAGCCTGCTGGAGAATGGGACTTGGGAACTAGTGGTGCTGCCTGAGGGAAAGAAAGCGGTACAATGCAAGTGGGTGCTAAGGATCAAGACTGACGACAAGGGGCAGGTCACCATCTACAAGAGTAGGTTGGTGGCTAAGGGGTTTATGCAGAAGGAGAAGCGGGACTTCAATGAGATCTTTGCTCCCACTGCCAAACCCCCTACCCTTCGTGTCTTGTTGGCAGATGCAGCCGTTAGTGGGAAGTTCATTATCCAGATGGACATATCAACGGCATTTCTCAACGGGATTTTAGAGGAGGAGGTGTTCATGACGCAGCCACCTGGGTATGAGGATGGTACGGGCAGGGTGTGCAAGCTGAAAAAGTCCATCTACGGCTTGAAGCAGGCGCCACGCTGCTGGTACCAGAAGTTGGCAGCTGTTTTAGAGGAGATGGGATTCAGGACCAGCAGCTGTGATGAGAGCCTCTTTCTCAAGGGGGAGGGGGAGAAGCTGGTGCTGTTTCTGGTCTATGTGGACGACATTCTTCTCTTTAGCAGCAGCATGAAGGAGATCCAGAAGGTGCAGCAGCAGCTGATGGAGAACTTCAAGTGCAAGAACCTTGGGGAGGTAAAGTACTACCTCGGGATGCACGTGGAGAGGGATCTGGATCACAGGTGGTTGAAGCTGCACCAGGAGAAGTTCATCAAGGAGCTTGGGGAGAAGTACGGAATTGAGAATGAGCGCAAGGTTGCAACTCCCCTGCCAGCAGAATTCAAGCTTGTGAAAGCTGCAGAGGATGAAGGGGTTGAAGCCGAGGAGCAGCACCAATTTCAGTCCTTGGTGGGCAGCCTCTTGTATGCAGCAGTTCACACGAGACCCGACATCTCTTTCTCGGTTGGGCAGCTGGCTAGGGTAGTGCAGAATCCATCAGAGGAGCAGGTGGATGCAGCTGAGCGTGTGGTGAAGTATCTGAACTCTCACCCAAGCATTGGAGTTCAATACTCCGCATCTGCACAGGTGAAGCAGAAAGGGGTTGAGGTGCTGAAAGAGAAGGGGGAGAGGCTTGGAGAAGGCAAGCTTTTTCTCACTTGCTTTACTGACGCTACGTGGGCCTCTGAGAAGGAGGATTCCTCATCTGTGGGAGGATACATCTGCGTAGTTGGGGGAGGACCGGTTAGTTGGAGGTCAAAGAAGCAGACGGAGACAGCACTCTCTTCTGTGGAATCAGAGTACATGGCGATGTTCCATGGGGTGAAGGAGGTGATTTGGCTGAGGAGGCTGTTGGAGGAGATTGGCCAGGAGCAAAAGGTTGCTACGCCGCTCTTTTGTGATAGCAAGGGAGCTCTTGGGATGGCCAGGAACGCTGTGCTTCATGGGCTGAATAAGCACATGCGTATCAAGTGGCACTGGCTGCGTAAGGAGGTGAAGAGGGGGACGGTGAATCCAATCTACATCAAGACTCACCAGCAGCCAGCAGACTTCCTCACCAAGAGGCTTGCGGATGAGTCTCATTGGCGTTGTGTGCGCATGAGTGGAATGAGCATGAACTAGTATGGAATGATGGGGATGCAGCCGGCAGGCTGAGGGGGAGTGTGTTGGGTGCAAATTCACATTGCACGACATCCTGCCGTCTGTTTGTACGAGTATGCGTGTGCGAATGCATTTGCGTGTGAATGGTATGTTTGTGTGTTTGTTTGCTTTCGCAATTTTCGCTTGAAGCATTTGCAGGTACTCGCAAAATGTGCGCTTCGGCATAACATTGTACGCGCTATGAACAGTACAAGCAGAAAGGACGAGCTCGCAAAGGAACCCAAGATGGAAGCTTTGCGGTTCAACTTACTTGATTGCGCAGATTCAGTTCTATCCAACTCGAAATTGTACTGTTTTGTTTGGTTGACTATAGTGTAGCAGGGCAGGCACTATAGGGGTACAATTTAGGTGAAGGTTGGATGTTGTTTGTCTGTATCTGCATGCTACAGGGCCAGGGGAAACCAGCGGAACCAGCATTTGGCTGGTTGGGCAAAGACAAAACAGGTTCTGTTTTTAGGACCTGAACCTGGTTGTTGTTTCCCCAGGTTGGAAAAACAGAACCAGAGGTTGTTCACCAACCTATCACTTGCTATTTTGTCCAGCCAGGTTGGTTCTGTTGCTTGGAATTATTTGGGATCATCCCTGGTTGTTCCCAGGTTGATTCCCAAGGTCCTTGCTAGCTAGAGCTATTTATTCCTTCTCTGTTTGTACCTGAACATAGTAAAATTGATTCAAGCGAATTCCTTCCTTGCTGGAATTTCTTTTCTACGCGGTGCGACGGCGAAATGCTACCCGAGTCAACGCTAGTACGCTAGCACTCCAACGCTAGGCTAACGCTGTCCGAGCCATAACTTCGTAATGGCAGAACTTTTCGCGAGGCAACTTGGCTTATTTTAAAGCTCTTAGAGTGAGCTTCGATATAGGAAATTCTCAGCTTAATCCGATCGACGGTCTGCACGATACGCTGCGCGACGTTCAAGGTACTCTTGCTGTTTTGACTAAGTCCCTCTTGATCCCTCTCTCTACAAACTCGGACCCGAGGATAGGGGCTGGTCTTGTACCAGGCACCCAAGGACCCTTGGAGGTGACCCCGAGGAGAGGTTTTAAGTGTGATAAAGTCTTAATAGCTTGAGTTTATTAGGCCCTTACACCAACATTGCCGGCATCATTTCTATTGCGAAGGAACACTTGCCCGTTAGAAGTTCTTTTCTACAATTCTTATTTTAAAAAGCTTTGCAACCCTACGACGACTTAGTTGCCTCTTCTTTGGGTTGTGAAGCAGCCTTTTGCAATCGATTTTCACAATTTTTTTTTTCATGGTTACTTTAAAATAAAACATGAGAAAAAAACTGTAACCTGCAGTACCACCCTTCCCATTCTACATGTTGAACCGTTTTGAATGTTGATAGCAGCTTTTTAAACGAATTTTGTCACAAAATCATTTTCTTGTAATTTTGTGCAGAAATGCTATCCTTTTATCGTTCGATGTTGTGGTGATAATTACATGTAATAAATGTTATAAATACTGGTAATCAGTTACACTCCACGCATGCTTAAATGAATGTAATGATTGTGAAGAAATGAGGAATGAATTTTCTAGAGGAAAGGGTTGGGTACTAGTACAAACCCTAGAAATATGTTGTACCCCATATGTGCTACCCCACTATAGCCTAAACAGGCTAAATCATATAAGTCTGACACACCCCCATAGGCAAAGCGGGGGAGAACAAGGGGTCACAAGACGAGTCAAGCAAAGCAAAGCGAGCTCAGGGTGGATCACAACGTCACCACACATTCCGAGCACAAGTTCAAGGCCACAAGGCCAGTTCACATGCAAGACCATATATAAGGTAAACAAGCAAGTGCAGGTTTAGAAAGATCACAGTACAAGCAAGGTCAAGAAGTGAGCAAGTGAGGCCACATAGGCACAAGACCTAGCATCGTACAGCAGCGCTGATGATCACAAGGCGGAAGTGCCTTGGTAAAGATATCAGCAGTGTTCGCCTGAGAGGCCACGTAAGCAAGGCGCAGCTGACCATGCTGCTGCAGCTTACGAGCAAGGAAGTAGCGAAGAGCAATGTGCTTCGTTCTGTGCTCCAGTCTGTGCTCCCGACACAAGGCCAGCATGGCCTTGTTGTCTACGTACAAAACTGGAGGAGAACGAGGCGGCTCTCCTAGGTCAGTCAGCAGGTAGGTGAGCCAGCGTAGCTCCTGTGCAGCCATGGCCCCCGCGTAGATCTCAGCCTCACAGCTGGAGCCGAGAACAGAAGACGAGCGGGTAGACCGCCACGAAACAGAGCTGGAACCAAGGCTGAAGGTGTAGTTTCCGCGGAGATTCACGGCCTCGGTCTGCAGCTCACGGTTGTTGCCTGTTATTTCCTGGCCAATCTGACCTCGCGTGCCGCTTTCTTCCTCTTACTTGTAGCCTTCAAAAAAACCTTCGACTCGGTGTGGCACGGCTACCTGTTCCGGACAATGAGGGCGATGGGCTTCCCGGAGCGTTTCGTGAAGTGGGTGGAAGGCTTGCATGCAGGGACAAAGACGAGGCTGTTAGTAAATGGCTGGATGGGTGACGGAGTGGAGGTGGTTTCTGGAGTTCGGCAGGGCTACCCCCTCGCGCCCTACCTCTTCGTGTGCGTGGTCAAACCGCTGGCGCAAGCGGTCCTTAAACAACGGATGGATATCAGCAAGGCGAGTGAAAGGTTGGCGTATATCGAGTACGCAGATGACACTACCTTTGTTTCAGGAGGGGAAGAAGGAGCTAATCGAAGCTAAGCAGGTGCTGGCAAAGTTCGAGCAGACGTCTGGGCTGGCGACACACCGGGACAAGTCGGTCGTCCTGCCAGTAGGGAACAATCTCGGCAGAATAACCGGTCGGACGCACAGTTTCAAATGGGCACAGAAGGACGAGGCCGAAAAGCTGCTGGGCGTGTGGGTTACTCCTTTGGGTGGCTGCCTGCCAACATGGGAGAAAACTTCGGAGGATATCTCGGGAAAAGTTAAAAGATGGGAGCAGAAGTTCCTCCCAACAACTGCGCGAATGGCTGTGGTCAACAGTTATACGATGCCGAAGGCGGTGTTCCAGGCGCAGGTCTACCCACCACCTGCCAAACAGTATGGGACCATCTCGAAGACATTTGAGAACTATGTGTCCGGGAACAAAGCAACGACGGACAAGGTGTTTTGGTTGTGGAGCAAGGAGCTGTTGTGTACACCGCGGAAACTCGGGGCGGGTGGGAGTTCAGGATCCGGAAATGATCTTGGCGTGCCTCACGGCGAGGCGTGTCGGGTTGCTGGCGCTGGAGACGAATCAACTAAAAAAGCATCTCATGCTGCGGGTGGCTGATCTGCCTATGGGCATTGAGACGTTTTTTGCCCATGAGAAGCTGCTGAGACACTGGGAGGGGAAAAGCGCTCGCTGGAAGGTGGCGTGTGAGAATTTCATGAAAACACTGCTGGGAGTTCTTCCTGAGGCAAGTACGAGAGAGGCGGTGGAAGGGGAGCGGATCGTCTTCAACAAGCGCCTCTTGCTTAACGAGACCACGTCGGTGGGGAGACAGCAGGACGCAAAGCCGTTGTGGGAGAAGCGGCTAGGTGACCTGGTGCAGCTTGATGGCAACGGCGTCCCTGTGCTTAAGGACCTAGCTGCTCTGGAAAGGGAGCTGGGAGGGAAGGGGGCTGCTAGGTTGGCAAGAAGGGCGTTTGAAGCTGCGCCCTAGAGGTGGAAGGAGTTGCTCCTCAGTGCTCCTGCCCAGGGGGCACAGGCGTCCGGCACAGCAGGGCCCATGCGGGTTTTTCACTCTGCGGGGCGCAAGCTCACTGACTTCCCCAAATTCGAAAACGGGGGGATTGCACCTTTGAGGCGGTTGAAGCTGCTTTGGAAGGAGGGGCAAAAACCGTCTGCGAAGCAGCAGCAGTGGAAGGGCAGGTGAAAAGGTCATATCAACTGGAGAAGAACTATTGTCATCAGAGATTCTTTGGTTACGCCGAACAGACCGCGGGACGTTTGCTGTAGATCGACAACCTGAATTTGCAAGTGGGAGAATAGGTAGCTATTTTGAGCAGTAATCCTCTGCGCATTCCTGCAAAGCCGAACCACTGTGTCAAATCAGTAGTGCTGGCCTGAGAGGCCACGTAAACAAGACGAAGCTGACCACGCTGCTGCAACTCTCGAGCAAGGAAGCAACGCAGAGCGATGTGCTTTGTTCTGTGCTCCAGTCTGTGCTCCTGACACAAGGCAATCATGGCCTTGTTTTCGATGTACAGAACTAGAGGAGAACGAGGCGCCTCTCCCAGGTCGATCAGCAGGTAGGTGAGCCAGCGTAGCTCCTGTGCAGCCATGGCTCGTGCGTAGATCTCAGCCTCACAGCTGGAGCTGAGAACAGAAGACGAGCGGGTAGACCACCACGAAACAGAACCGGAGCCAAGGCTGCAGGTGTAATCCTATGACGACCGCTGCGTAGCCAAGTTGTCAACCCAAGAAGCGTCTACGTGACAAGTGAGGACGATTGGACCCCGTCCTCCAAGCACGAGCTCCATGCCTGACGTACTGCACAAGTAGCGCATCACCCTCTTAGCGGCCTTCCAGTGCTCTTGTCGGTGTCTCTCGGGAGCAACGTAGCGTGCCAGTATGCTAAGGAATCAAGTGCAGGTCATCAGGTACATGAGGCAGCCCACAAGCTCAAGATACGGGCCACTCGGCTCTACGGACTCATCCGAAGGCAGAGCTGAGAGCAAGTGACCGGTAGGCAAAGGAGTGGACTGTGGCAAGGAGTACTGGAAGTCGAAGCGCTGAAGGACCTGCTTCACCATGTGTGACTAAGTCAGGGTGATGGTGCGGCGTGCTCTGTCTTGGGTGATCTGCAAGCCAAGATAGATGCGCAGCTCACCGAGGTATGTGCACGTGTGTCTCTTTTGCCGCTCCGACTTCACTAGAGTCAGTGCCGCAGTGTCAGCAGTGGCAAAGACCAAGTCGTCGACGTACACGAGGATGTAGAATGGCGGCAGCAAAGTGTCGGTGTGTAGGAACAGCGACAGGTCAGCCGTAGAAGTAGCAAACCCAAGAGCTGCAAGAGTCGTCCTCCGTGTGTCGTGCCACTCGCGAGGCGCCTGGCGGAGACCGTAGACTGGCCGCCGTAGGCTCCACTGAGTACCAGGTGGAAATGACCCAGTGAAACCAGGTGGGTGGCGCAGCCAGATCTCCTCGTTCAGGCTGCCCTGTAGGAAGTGCTGAAGTCAAGAGTATGAAGCTCGTAGTCACGCTGCGCGGTGACGTGCAGCAGAACCCGAAGAGTGGTCATCTTCAGGGTCGGGGAGAAGGTGTGGAAGAAGTCAACTCTGTGTCGCTGACTGAAGCCTCGTGCAACGTAACGAGCCTTGAAGAAAGGTGGAGAACCCGGCGGCCGCTTCACCCTGAAAATCCACATGCTTCTGACGATGTTCGCCCCAGGAGGGGGAACGTCGTTGCAAAAGTGCCTGTGGACTTCTAGGATGCCATCTCTGCGTCCATGGTTGACTGCCACTGAGAGGAGTAGGGACCCTCTATTGCCTCTGCCTAAGAGCGCGGGGTCGGGATGTCTAGTGCATCCGGGTCTCCTTCAGGTGCAATCAGCATGGACACGAGATGAGGTACAGAAGCTGAAAAACACTCAAGGTGTCGTCAAGGACGTCCGTGCCAAGGATGGAGACAGACAGACTCAGACTCAGTAACAAGACTAGCCACGCAGTCGAGACGACAGCGAGCAGCAAAGTCGACAAGCTCAGCAACTAAGGCAGACGGAGCAGTGGACTCAAAGGAAGGGCCAGTGACAACAGTAGCTAGCAGACGCGTGACAATAGGGCTGGCAACACGAAGTGGGTCAAACTCGGGGTCCGGACCATCAGCAAGGGAGGACGCAGGAGGAGACGGCAGAGGTATACGCAGTGGAACAGAGGAAGGACGGAGTGCCATCTGGTGCGTGCCAGGGTCAGGAGGAGGACGTGGACGCGGAACACGACGACTAGTGCGAGCAGAGCGAACAGGTGACGCAGGGCGAGACGCAGGCTCATGACGCTCAGCAAGACCTCCGGTCGGTCCAGTGTAAGGAGAAGGACCAGGCAGCGGGGAGGCTCGCGGTAACTGTGACTGTGACTGGTCAGGCGTCGCACACAATAAGGGAGGAGTAGTACCAGTAGAGGGCGGGAGACCAAGAACCTGCTGAAGGAGTGGAACAAAGTACGGCCGCGGCCGCGCAGCGCTTCCAGAACTAGCAGAGACAGCACCAAGACCCCCAGCTCCAGAGTCACCAGCTCCAACTCCTGCAGCACCACTAGCTCCAGCACCAGCAGCACCACCAGCAGGACCAGCTCCAGAGTCTCCAGCTCCAACTCTTGCAGCACCACTAGCTCCAGCACCAGCAGCACCACCAGCAGGAACAGCTCCAGTGCCTCCAGCTCCAACTCCTGCACCACTACTTGCTCCAGCACTAGCAGCACCACCAGTAGGAACAGCTCCAGCGCCTCCAGCTTCAACTCCTGCAGTACCACTAGCTCCAGCACCTGCAGCACCTCCAGCAGGAACAGCTCCAGCGACTCCAGCTCCAACTCCTACAACACCACCAGCCCCAGCAGCTCCAGTACCTCCAGTACGAGCACCTCCGGGACGAGCGGCCCCAGTGCCTCTAGCAGCTCCAGTAGCAGCATGACCTCCAGCTCCAACAGCACAGCTCCAGCGCCGAGCAAACCACTCACGCAGCTTCGGTGGAGAGAGCGGCTCCCGCCGGGACAAGACACCCATAGAGCCAAACGGGACCGCCGGACACAGCAGAACCGTAGAGGAGTGTGCAAGGACTAGGCCCCCACAGGGGTCCGCCAGGGAGACAGCAACCGGCCGACTGAGCGGTGTGAGTATGGTGCAGTCGCGGAAGAAAGAGCGGGAAGCTCCTAAGTTAAGAGTCAAAGTGTGCAAGGCCTCAGCAGGCGCAGTACCTGAGAGAGCTGACGCAATAGCACCTGGACCATTTGGCTCACTAGTACCTGGAGCAGCAGACTCACTGGCACATAGAGCAGCACACTCTATGCCTGGGTCAGGCGGCATATATAGGTAACAGTCACCCTCAGCACTAATATATGAGAATAAAAACAAGGAATGACTGGAAACAGGGCAGTACAAGGTTTGTATAGGCAAAACTTAACAATACTGTACCCCATAAGTGTTGGGTGCAAATTCACATTGCACGACATCCTGCCGTCTGTTTGTACGAGTATGCGTGTGCGAATGCATTTGCGTGTGAATGGTATGTTTGTGTGTTTGTTTGCTTTCGCAATTTTCGCTTGAAGCATTTGCAGGTACTCGCAAAATGTGCGCTTCGGCATAACATTGTACGCGCTATGAACAGTACAAGCAGAAAGGACGAGCTCGCAAAGGAACCCAAGATGGAAGCTTTGCGGTTCAACTTACTTGATTGCGCAGATTCAGTTCTATCCAACTCGAAATTGTACTGTTTTGTTTGGTTGACTATAGTGTAGCAGGGCAGGCACTATAGGGGTACAATTTAGGTGAAGGTTGGATGTTGTTTGTCTGTATCTGCATGCTACAGGGCCAGGGGAAACCAGCGGAACCAGCATTTGGCTGGTTGGGCAAAGACAAAACAGGTTCTGTTTTTAGGACCTGAACCTGGTTGTTGTTTCCCCAGGTTGGAAAAACAGAACCAGAGGTTGTTCACCAACCTATCACTTGCTATTTTGTCCAGCCAGGTTGGTTCTGTTGCTTGGAATTATTTGGGATCATCCCTGGTTGTTCCCAGGTTGATTCCCAAGGTCCTTGCTAGCTAGAGCTATTTATTCCTTCTCTGTTTGTACCTGAACATAGTAAAATTGATTCAAGCGAATTCCTTCCTTGCTGGAATTTCTTTTCTACGCGGTGCGACGGCGAAATGCTACCCGAGTCAACGCTAGTACGCTAGCACTCCAACGCTAGGCTAACGCTGTCCGAGCCATAACTTCGTAATGGCAGAACTTTTCGCGAGGCAACTTGGCTTATTTTAAAGCTCTTAGAGTGAGCTTCGATATAGGAAATTCTCAGCTTAATCCGATCGACGGTCTGCACGATACGCTGCGCGACGTTCAAGGTACTCTTGCTGTTTTGACTAAGTCCCTCTTGATCCCTCTCTCTACAAACTCGGACCCGAGGATAGGGGCTGGTCTTGTACCAGGCACCCAAGGACCCTTGGAGGTGACCCCGAGGAGAGGTTTTAAGTGTGATAAAGTCTTAATAGCTTGAGTTTATTAGGCCCTTACACCAACAATAAGGAGTGCCCCAATACAACCTACAATATAGTTCTGACACACCCCGATAGGCAAAGTGGGGGACAAGCAAGAGAGCAAGGCAAGGTCAAGCCCACGGTGGATCACAATGTCACCACACAGTCTGAGCACAAGTACAAGACCACAAGGCCAGTTCACATGCAGGATAAAAAACCAAGGTGAACAAGCAAGACAGTGAACTCAACATAGCAAGGGTAAGCATGCAGGTGCAGGTATATATAGATCACAGTACAAGCAAAGTCAAGAGGTAAGCAAGTGAGGCACGGTAGGCACAAGACCTAACATAGTACAAAAGAGCTGATGATCACAAGGCTGAAGTGCCTTGGTAAAGATATCAGCAGTGTTGGCCCGAGAGGCCACGTAAGCAAGACGAAGCTGACCACGCTGCTGTAACTCTCAAGCAAGGAAGTAGCGCAGAGCAATGTGCTTCTTTCTGTGCTCCAGTCTGTGCTCCTGACACAAGGCCAGCATGGCCTTGTTGTCGACGTACAGAACTGGAGGAGAACGAGGCGCCTCTCCCAAGTCAGTTACCAGGTAGGTGAGCTAGCGTAACTCCTGTGCAGCCATGGCCCCTGCGTAGATCTCAGCCTCACAACTGGAACTCACAACAGAAGACGAGTGGGTAGACCGCCACGAAACAGAACTGGAGCCAAGGCTGAAGGTGTAACCCTGTGACGACCGCTGCGTAGCCAAGTCGTCAACCCAAGAAGCGTCTGCGTGACAAGTGAGGACAACCCGAACCCGTCCTCCAAGCACGAGCCCCATGCCCGACGTACTGCACAGGTAACGCAACACCCTCTTAGCTGCATGAATGTGCTCTCGTCGGTGTCTCCTAGGAGCAACATAGCGTGCCAAGATGCAAAAAGGGTATGCCAGGTCAGGTCGAGTGCAGGTCATCTGGTACATGAGGCAGCCAACAAGCTCTGGGTATGGGCCACTCGGCTCTACGGACTCATCCGAAGGCAGAGCTGAGAGCGAGTGGCGAGTAGACAGAGGAGTGGCCTGAGGCGAGGAGTACGTGAAGTCGAAGCGCTGAAGGACCTGCTGCACCATGTGTGACTGCGTCAAGGTAATGGTGCGCTGTGCTCTATCCCGGGTGATCTGCAAGCCAAGGTAGCTGCGCAGTTCACTCAGGTCTGTGCACGTGTGTCTCTTCTATAGCTCCGACTTCACGTTGGCGACTCCAACAGCGTCAGTAGTAGCAAAGACCAAGTCGTTGACGTACACGAGGATGTAGAACGGCGGCAGCGAAGTGTCGGTGCGGAGAAACAGCGTCGGGTCAGCAGTGGAAGAAGCAAACCCAAGAGCCGCAAGCGTAGTCCTCAGTGTGTTGTGCCACTCGCGGGGTGCCTGGCAAAGACCGTAGACTGGCCGCCCGAGGCTCCACTGGATACCAGCAGGAAACGACCCAGTGAAGCCAGGTGAGTGGTGCAGTCAGACCTCCTCGTGTAGGCTGCCCTACAGGAAAGCAGTGCTATAGTCAAGAGAGTGAAGCTCGTAGTCACGCTGAGCAGCGACGTACACCAGAACCCGAAGAGTGGTCATCTTCGGGTTCGGGGAGAAGGTCTGGAAGAAGTCAACTCCTTGTCGCTGACTGAAGCCTCGAGCCACTTAATGCGCCTTGAAGACAGGCGGAGACACCCACATGCCACTAACGATGTTCGCCCTAGGAGGGGGAACCTCGTTGACTTAGGTGCCTGTGGACTTCGAAGATGCCATATTTGCATCCATGGTTGACTGCCACTGAGAGGAGTAGGGACCCTCTATCGCCTCTGTGTAAGAGCGCGGAGTCGGGATGTCTGGTGCATCCGGGTCTCCCTCACGTGCAATCAGCATGCACACGAGATGAGGTAAAGCAGCAGCAAAACACTAGAACTCCTCCTGCCTGTCCTCAAGGACGTCCGTGCCAAGAGCACACTCACCCCCAACGGACGGAGGACAGACTGACTCAAACTCAGCAACAAGGCTAGCAGCGTAGTCTAGACGACAGTGAGCAGCCAAGTCGACAAGCTCAGCAACTAAGGCAGACGCAGCAGTGAACTCAAAGGAAGGGTCGGTGACAATAGTGGCTAGGAGTCGCATAACAGTAGGACTAGCAGCACGGAGGGAGTCAGACTCAAGGTCAGCAAGGGCGCTGGAGGAGACAGCAAAGGGACACGCTGCGGAGCAGTGGACGGACGTAGAGCCATCTGATGCGTGCCAAGGACAGGAGGAGGACGCTGACGCAAACCACGATGACCAGTGCGAGCTGCATGAACAGGCGACGCATGACGAGACTCATGCTCACGACGCTCCGTAAGACCTCTGGTCGGACTAGTGTAAGGAGAAGAAGCAGGCATAGGGGAGGCGGGCAGCAACTGTGATTGCGACTGGATAGGCGGTGAACACTCTAAGGAAGGAGCAAGACCAGTAGAAGGCGAGAGACCAATAACCTGCTCAAGGAGCGGAACGAAGTACGGCCGCGGCCGCGCAGCACCTCCAGAACCAGCAGGGAAAGCACCAGCACCCCCAGCGTTAGCTCCAACTCCAGCAGCACCACCAGCTCCACCAGCACCTCCAGCAGCTCCAGTAGCGCCAACTCCAGCACCCCCAGGAGCACCGGCTCCAACAACACCTCCAGCGCCAGCACCTCAGCAGCTCCAGCTCCGGCATGACCACGAGAAGACCCAGCAGCTCAAGTAGCGCCAGCTCCAGTGCCTCCAGCAGCACCTGCTCCAGCAGCATCGCCAGCTCCAGCCCCTCCAGCAGCTCCAGCTCCAGCAGCACCACCATGCCCGGCAGCAGCTCCAGTACGAGCACCTCCGGGACCGGTGGCTCCAGAACCCCCAGCACCACCAGCAACAGCAAGACCTCCAGAGCCCGTAGTACCTTGAGCTCCAGCAGCAGGGCTCCAGCACCGACCAAACCACTCGCGCCGCTGCTGTGGAGAGAGTGGCTCCCGTTGGGATGAAGCACCTGAGGGACCTTGAGGCTCAGCTCCCTTAGGATAAGCACCCCCAGAATCAAAAACCCAAGGCTCAGCACCCCCAGGCTCAGCACCCTTAGACTCTGCACCCCCAGGCTCCGCACGCTCAGGCTCAGCACCCCCAGACCCGGCACCCGCAGGCTCAGCACTCCTAGCAGCACCACAGTCAACAGCTACCTCGACAGGCTCGAGTGCGTCTACCTGAGACACACCTGAGGGGGGATGACCCTAAGGGGGGAGGGGGTCTACTGGGGGAGGACCTGGCGCGAGGAAGAGCGGCGGGGGGGGGAGGGGGGCAGTGCGGTAGGGGAAGAGACGGTAGTAAGGAACCGACTCGTCAAACGTGACGTCCTGGAAGGACAGAACACGACGCGAGGTGGGGTGGTAAAACTGCCAACCAGGCGCGTCAGGGGGGAAGCCAAGGAAGACGCAGGGAACAGCACGGGAGGACAGCTTGTCCGCAGACAAGTCACGGACAAAAGCTCGAGATCCCCAGACACAGAACGCAGAGGCATCGCCAACCTTTGCCGTCCATTGCAGAGTAGGTGTGGTGTCCGGCATGGAGACCCGGGGCTGGAGGTTGAGCTGATGCGCAGCGTATTGAACCGCAAACGGCCACAGAAAATGGGGAGCAGCCGCATGGATCATGGACGTAGGAGCGACGTCTGTGACCATGCCAATGCGGCGCTTAGCAATCCCATTTTGCTGCGGAGAGGCCAAAAGTGTGAACATCTGGCGAATGCCCTCCGCACAACAGAAGGCTCGCAGAAGGTGTTGGTGTAAGGGCCTAATAAACTCAAGCTATTAAGACTTTATCACACTTAAAACCTCTCCTCGGGGTCACCTCCAAGGGTCCTTGGGTGCCTGGTACAAGACCAGCCCCTATCCTCGGGTCCGAGTTTGTAGAGAGAGGGATCAAGAGGGACTTAGTCAAAACAGCAAGAGTACCTTGAACGTCGCGCAGCGTATCGTGCAGACCGTCGATCGGATTAAGCTGAGAATTTCCTATATCGAAGCTCACTCTAAGAGCTTTAAAATAAGCCAAGTTGCCTCGCGAAAAGTTCTGCCATTACGAAGTTATGGCTCGGACAGCGTTAGCCTAGCGTTGGAGTGCTAGCGTACTAGCGTTGACTCGGGTAGCATTTCGCCGTCGCACCGCGTAGAAAAGAAATTCCAGCAAGGAAGGAATTCGCTTGAATCAATTTTACTATGTTCAGGTACAAACAGAGAAGGAATAAATAGCTCTAGCTAGCAAGGACCTTGGGAATCAACCTGGGAACAACCAGGGATGATCCCAAATAATTCCAAGCAACAGAACCAACCTGGCTGGACAAAATAGCAAGTGATAGGTTGGTGAACAACCTCTGGTTCTGTTTTTCCAACCTGGGGAAACAACAACCAGGTTCAGGTCCTAAAAACAGAACCTGTTTTGTCTTTGCCCAACCAGCCAAATGCTGGTTCCGCTGGTTTCCCCTGGCCCTGTAGCATGCAGATACAGACAAACAACATCCAACCTTCACCTAAATTGTACCCCTATAGTGCCTGCCCTGCTACACTATAGTCAACCAAACAAAACAGTACAATTTCGAGTTGGATAGAACTGAATCTGCGCAATCAAGTAAGTTGAACCGCAAAGCTTCCATCTTGGGTTCCTTTGCGAGCTCGTCCTTTCTGCTTGTACTGTTCATAGCGCGTACAATGTTATGCCGAAGCGCACATTTTGCGAGTACCTGCAAATGCTTCAAGCGAAAATTGCGAAAGCAAACAAACACACAAACATACCATTCACACGCAAATGCATTCGCACACGCATACTCGTACAAACAGACGGCAGGATGTCGTGCAATGTGAATTTGCACCCAACACACTCCCCCTCAGCCTGCCGGCTGCATCCCCATCATTCCATACTAGTTCATGCTCATTCCACTCATGCGCACACAACGCCAATGAGACTCATCCGCAAGCCTCTTGGTGAGGAAGTCTGCTGGCTGCTGGTGAGTCTTGATGTAGATTGGATTCACCGTCCCCCTCTTCACCTCCTTACGCAGCCAGTGCCACTTGATACGCATGTGCTTATTCAGCCCATGAAGCACAGCGTTCCTGGCCATCCCAAGAGCTCCCTTGCTATCACAAAAGAGCGGCGTAGCAACCTTTTGCTCCTGGCCAATCTCCTCCAACAGCCTCCTCAGCCAAATCACCTCCTTCACCCCATGGAACATCGCCATGTACTCTGATTCCACAGAAGAGAGTGCTGTCTCCGTCTGCTTCTTTGACCTCCAACTAACCGGTCCTCCCCCAACTACGCAGATGTATCCTCCCACAGATGAGGAATCCTCCTTCTCAGAGGCCCACGTAGCGTCAGTAAAGCAAGTGAGAAAAAGCTTGCCTTCTCCAAGCCTCTCCCCCTTCTCTTTCAGCACCTCAACCCCTTTCTGCTTCACCTGTGCAGATGCGGAGTATTGAACTCCAATGCTTGGGTGAGAGTTCAGATACTTCACCACACGCTCAGCTGCATCCACCTGCTCCTCTGATGGATTCTGCACTACCCTAGCCAGCTGCCCAACCGAGAAAGAGATGTCGGGTCTCGTGTGAACTGCTGCATACAAGAGGCTGCCCACCAAGGACTGAAATTGCTGCTGCTCCTCGGCTTCAACCCCTTCATCCTCTGCAGCTTTCACAAGCCTGAATTCTGCTGGCAGGGGAGTTGCAACCTTGCGCTCATTCTCAATTCCGTACTTCTCCCCAAGCTCCTTGATGAACTTCTCCTGGTGCAGCTTCAACCACCTGTGATCCAGATCCCTCTCCACGTGCATCCCGAGGTAGTACTTTACCTCCCCAAGGTTCTTGCACTTGAAGTTCTCCATCAGCTGCTGCTGCACCTTCTGGATCTCCTTCATGCTGCTGCTAAAGAGAAGAATGTCGTCCACATAGACCAGAAACAGCACCAGCTTCTCCCCCTCCCCCTTGAGAAAGAGGCTCTCATCACAGCTGCTGGTCCTGAATCCCATCTCCTCTAAAACAGCTGCCAACTTCTGGTACCAGCAGCGTGGCGCCTGCTTCAAGCCGTAGATGGACTTTTTCAGCTTGCACACCCTGCCCGTACCATCCTCATACCCAGGTGGCTGCGTCATGAACACCTCCTCCTCTAAAATCCCGTTGAGAAATGCCGTTGATATATCCATCTGGATAATGAACTTCCCACTAACGGCTGCATCTGCCAACAAGACACGAAGGGTAGGGGGTTTGGCAGTGGGAGCAAAGATCTCATTGAAGTCCCGCTTCTCCTTCTGCATAAACCCCTTAGCCACCAACCTACTCTTGTAGATGGTGACCTGCCCCTTGTCGTCAGTCTTGATCCTTAGCACCCACTTGCATTGTACCGCTTTCTTTCCCTCAGGCAGCACCACTAGTTCCCAAGTCCCATTCTCCAGCAGGCTCTGGTACTCAGCATCCCTGGAAGCTAGCCATTTGTCCCTATCTGGTCCAGCTAATGCCTCCTCCATGCTAGCTGGTTCCTCTGGTGCAGGGGCAAGAAAACAGTACGCAGGTTGATCCTCCTCATCCGGGTCATAGCCATGCGGTAGAATCAGCAATGCCTCCTCGGTCCCAAGCTGCTGCTCCGCTACATCAGCTCCTGCAGTCAGCTTCTTAGTAGCCATACGGGTACGTCCTGGCCTGGAGACGGGTGTCTCCCATCCCTTCATAATAACACCCTTCGGCTTCTTAGTTATCCCCTGCTGCTGCTCTCCTCCCTCGGATCCAGCAGCTCCACTAGTGCTACCGCTAATCTCCACACCATCACCTCCACCAGCAGGTGCCTCCTGCACCTTCTCTTTATCACCACCCTCTGCAGCTGCCTCCTCTCCCTCCTCCCACACACTAGGAGTCAGGTCCAGCTGCATGGTAATCTGCTCCATCTGCTGGGACACCCTGGCCTCCGGCTGTTTCTCCCAGCTCCCATACATCATGCCCTCAACAAACTTCACATCCCTGCTGTCAAACAACACACCCTTGGAAGGCTCCCACAGCAGCCATCCCTTGCTCTCAGCAGCCAGCCCCAAATGCACACACCAGATTGCACTCGCCCCCAACTTACTGCGATAGGTCTTGGGGACGTGGGCGACTGCCATGCAACCGAACACCCTCAGCATGTCAACCGGCGGCTTCCTCCCAAGCCACCTCTCCAACGGCACCCACGAGTCATCCCCAACCTTTGTGAGTACCCTGTTCCTAGCGACGGTAGCGTGCCGAACAGCATGGGGCCACATCAAGTTGCCCAGCCCAGATTCTATGAGCAGCGCCCTAGCTGTCTCCAGAATTGTCCGGTTCGCCCGTTCTGCTACACCGTTGGACTGTGGGGTGTAAGCCGTGGTCAGCTCCCTCTGGATGCCCTGCTTCTTGAGCCAGGCCGTCATGTCAGTTCCAAGGAACTCACCACCCCGATCTGTCCTAATCCGCTTCACCACACACTCCGCTTGCTTCTCCACGAACGGCAGCCAATCGTCCCGAATCGTGGAGGCGGCGTGATCTTTCTGCTTCAGCGGATACGCCCACATTAGCCTGCTCCAGTCATCCACTATGGTTAAGAAGTACCGCTCCCCCTTGTGCCCTTGCACCGGCAGCGGCCCCACCAAGTCCATGTGGACCAGCTCCAACGGCTTTTTGCTCCTGCCAGCCACACTATGGAAGGGGAAACGGGTGAACTTTGAAAGGAGGCAAATTTCACAGTTATCATCGGGTGGTTGTCCGTTCAGCTTTAAGCCCTTAACGGCTCCATCCTTCTCCAGCTGCTTCAGCAAAGGCATTGCCACATGCCCCAAACGTCGGTGTGCAGTTGCCCAATCTGTCTCCCCAGATCTGGCCGACACTTTCACACCAACCCCTCCAACGGCGTTGCACTCCCCCTGGGATGCAGACCCCTCTCCAGCCTGCCCCCCACCGTGCCACGCCAGCGCCGGCAGCTGCCACATAGATCTGTACACGTCCTTGCTCTCGTGCAGATCCCAAAGCACCCGATTGCCCAGCTTCCCCTTATAAGTGCGAGCCCCATCCGTGTTGGTGTTCACCCCAGCCTTGCCAAGCTTACGGAGGGAGATGAGGTTGGCCTTCAGGTCGGGGACGAGGAGAACGTCGTGCAGCACCACCGGCTTGCCATCCGCTCCCTTAAATGCAGCTCGTCCCGCACCAGCCACCTTCAACATGTGTCCAGAGGCAGAGCACACCTCATTAATCGGTGCAGCGCGTACGTCGTCCAGCAGGTCCTTGCGCGGCGTCATTGTCCAAGCAGCGCCTGTGTCCAACACCCAATAGTCCAGGGGGTGCAGCTCTGCTCCAGCCTTAGCAGATGCGTCTCCTTGCTCCCCCTTGTCTCCCATATGGAAGAATTGGCCTGCGGTGCGCTCCTTCTTCTTCTCCGCACCGCCGTTGCCCTTCGGGTTGTTGTCGGACGAATCAGCGACCATGTTGGCGCCGTTTTTCTGATTCCTCCGCGCGCCGCCATCCTGGTGACGATTCTGGGGGGTCCATCCATCGGGTTTCTTATAGCACAAAAACCAGGGGTGCCCTTCCTTCTCACAATACCAGCAACTCCCTTTCATTTTGCCACCAGCACCCGACTTGCCCCCACGTCCAGATTTCGCACCGCGACCCCAACCGGTACCTCCTTGTTGGTCGTT